TCCCTTTTTTATCGATTTTCAGGACACGGCGTCGCGGCGCGCGACGGAGGGAAAGAAAAAGAGGGAAAGAGACGGAGAAATTTCCCTCTTTTTTTTTTAATATGCTTCCACTTTATGAGAGACGCTATGCAGAAACCTGTTTGTTTCGCCTTCGCGGTATCTGACGATATCGCACGTAACATACATCTGTAGGACGAAGAGAATTGCCATATCCGGCAGCAGCGGGATTACTTGGCTACGCGATGCTACGGTGCGACGCGACGTGACGCGACGCTACACTCCTGTTGCACAATTTGCACGTGAGGCACAGCCGTGAGCCGCGTAATCGCGAGCCGCTATCGATAGTACGAGGGTAATTCAAGCTCGAGCCCGCGCGAGTTCGAAAAGCGCGCGGGTGACGGGGAAACGAGCTTCTCTCTCTTCTCGACTCGACGCGTCTTCGTAGGTGGAGCCAGCGACCGCTTCCTTGCCTCGATGGATCACACTCGCTCCGCTGTCTCGAGCTATATTTGTATATTACGATATTACGATAAAAGAGAGAGAGAGAGAGAGAGAGAGAGAGAGAGAGAGAGAGAGATATTATAGATATCGTTAATTTACTAGGCACTTTAGAATTTCTCTCAAACATTAAAAATAATACATGATTAAAAAAAATAATGAAAATATAAAGAATATTAAGAAACACATTCAAAAAGGTGATAAAGAATTAACAGAAAACATTAAAAATAAAAAAAATGAATAATAATAGAAAAAAATAGTAAAAGATTTAAAAAATAATAGAAACAATTTATTATAATATATTAAAAATAATATGACACACGTTAATTAGAATTTGTAATTGAGAAATACAAACTGCATTAAGAGAGATCGAAGGAGAAAGAGAGAAAGAGAGAGAGAGAGAGAGAGAGAGAGAGAGAGAGAGAGAGAGACTAATTTGTTTGCGTAATTAATGAATTTTATGATATAGGGAAAAAAATGATTTTGCTGTAGTATCTAAAATTTAGCTAAATCTGAAAATAATTTTATTAGGCCATAAAATAATTACGTTGAAATATCAAGCAAGATGAATAATGCTAACTTTTTGATATTCTAACAACTAATTTGAGTATTCTTTATAATTATTTTGATGATCCAAATAAAATTATTTTTAAATCTGTATCTAATTTAATTTTTTATATTTCGGCAAAACCGTCCTTTCCTTGTAGCTGAAATAGCAAAAGATGGCTTTGATTTTATAATGATAACGATAACGTAAAAAAATTTTTTTAAAGCTTCTGTAGAAGTTATTTATAATACGGCAAAGATTTATCAAAGATGATAAGAAAAAAATATCAAGGTAAATATGTATGATCTTAAAAAGACTTTATCTTGTGCATTGACGGCTCGAATATCAAATATGATATTAGACTTCAAAAGATAAAATTAATAAATATTCATTTCGCAATAAATATCATCGCGCTGCACTATCGAGAGAGAGAATCGGAAATTTCATAATGTAAACAATTTCTCATTATTACTCAATAATCTGTATTTTGTCGATTTGCATAGAAATAATTGATCTTCATATTGCTTGTTAATTTAAAAAAAGCAATTTAATGTAAATGGAAAGATACATAAAAAGATTCCCGAATATATCAGCATATTTAAAAAATATATCAACTTATTATTTATATAGAAATTATTATACAAATAGTATAAACTAGCATAACGAATTGTTTGATTATCTATATATCTAATATTAATATTATTTTTAAATAATTTACTTTAATAATTTTTCACGATAAAGTAAAGTCGGTTTGATAAATATCAATTTATTATTAAAAAAAAGTCATATAAATAAATAATATTTAATAAATAGTATTTAATAACTGCACGAAGATGAGATGACTGTTCTTTCTAACAGGAGTAATCTGATCTTTCAGTTCATGATAACGGAAATATCTAGTCGACATTAACAAGCGTCATTTAAGTCTAACAAATGGGAAGTTGGTGCGTTCCCCGATTCGCGCGACCCACGTTACATACAAAGGCTACTTCGATTATTTTCCCGACGAATATCGAACAGATCGAGTTGCCCCATTTAGTCGAAACACACTTTCAGCCTTCCCATTCCCTTTTTTTCGCTGCTGAGAATAAAGAGGAGCCTCGACATTTTTTTGTGTTTTTGTGCGAGAGCTAGCCGAATACAGGTCGCACATGAATAACATCGTACATTTGCTAGCGTAATTTAAAGCGGCACGTGTATCGTGAGGCGGACACTCGTCACACGCACGGGCCGAACCCGGAGGACGGGGCTAACGGGATTATTAATCGGCAAGTGTCCACCGAGCGGCGGCTCAGCGAGATTGAGAACCACTGGCGCGCGTGCGACGACGCGAAATATGCGCATATACGAGCACGAGCTCGTGAGGATGGGTGCATTGCCTTACAATCAACTGTGTCAACAGTATTAGAAGCACTCAAGGAACATCGAAAGAAAATGACGTTATTTTTACGTTATCAAAGTCAAAATGATGATTTTTGGTTATAAAATTTCGAGGGGGTAATCACTAGCTGAAATATTGTCCCACAGATTACATATAATTTCATTTGATGACAAATAATTTTCTTTTCACTATGTATTAGGTTAAGTAAAAAGTCATCGCGTTTTTTTAAAAGACATCTATCAGTAAAAACCGCAATTACTTTCTTACCAACAATATAAATATATTTTGATAGAGTAAAGTTTCAGCTTTAAAAATCTTTTTTTTAAATTATACGATACGACAATTTTTAATGGAGTTATGAGCAATTAAAAATAATTCTTTTATTTAATCCGCGATAACTCAGTAATCAAAAGTCGTAGGAATATTAAAAAAAAACGATTTTGTAGGGAAAGTATCAAGCTTTCACGATAGGTAATCGAAAATTTTCTCAAATTCGTTTTGGACACGTTACAAATCCACAAAGTGAGAAGAAAATTTTTCGTCTTTT